TTTAGGTTCAATTATTTGCTGTGAGGTTCTTTTGCATTGTCAAAGAAACATAAGAATCTTATGTTTTACAGACAAAGGAAGCTTAGAAGGAAATGCTAAGCTGATTAAATGCAGCCTCAGTGCCTATACACATCATAGAAGAGAACTTTTTCTGTGGGTTTGCGCTTCTTTTATACAAGCACTACATTTAGGAAAAAATCTAATCTCAAACCCAGCGAATGAATTTAGAGATTTTCAGATATAAGGAATGCTGATTTGTAGAATATTTGATCCAACGATATTGCTAAATATTAACTTAAACATTCTCCCTGAAAAGGAATACGTATTAGATTAAAACGCAGATCAAACTGCTTGGAGCTAAACTAACATCATGAAAGAAACAGAGACTAATAAAGAAGGGTGAGAATGGCAAAAAAGAAAAAATGGAAGGCAGGCATTCAATTTAACTACTCCCAGAAAGATGCCTTCATACGCAAATATTAAATTCCTTGTCCACTTGTTTCAACTCTTCATGTACATGTAAATAAAACCAAGAACAATGTTCTCCTATATATGACAACAGCTTCTAAAACCTAATCATGCCGCCACACACCAAGATGACGCAACACAAATGATAGACACAAACAAATGAAATCAAATATTAAGTACACTTCCACAGAATCAAGAGGATGAGAACCTTTATGCTAAAGATCCTTGTTTCAAATCTTCTTGGCCACCAAATCCCACATCCTTGGATTTGCTAAAGATCTGGTCATTGTGTAAAGTGCAACATTAAGCACCTCTAAATATCACATCAGCTTTTGAATACGCTTTAAACTCTATGGCGCAAAAGTACCATTCAAAGGAACATTAAACCATGATGTTTATTACAAAAAGCAATAAGTTTTTCTTTGATTTTCTTGGCAAACAAACTACTATATACAGTAATAAAAAGGCCAATTCATATTCAAATGAAGTCAACAAATCAAGAGAGAGATCCAAATATCTAAATATCTATAAATTTTTCCAATGTTTCTTCTTTAAACAGAAATAGAAACAAATAGATAAATCAAAAATAGGCCAAAACTATAAATTCACACAAAATGAGATTGAGAAAACAAAATCATCTCAGATTCAGCTAAATTTAAATCCTTTACTATAGTTAGTTCGTATCAACTTTTGCCCAATTTCACTATGTTCAAAGTTGATCATAAACTCAACTTTAGAAGTTTGGCTTTTAGGATCCACATAATTAATTATTTGAGTGAGGCCACGCTTACAGCAACAGCACATCACAACAATCCTAAATGCACTGTATATTGGTTGGGTCAACACACTAGTTAACAGCAAACACCAAAGCTACCAACAGCTCTTCAGGTGATACCTTACATAACACATAGCTCCATGAACTGCCATGAAAAACAACAAAACCTTAAAAAACTAACCAGTAGACCTAAGATTAAGACCTTGTTTGGTTTGAGGGAAATGGAGGATCGGTAATTTCATCCAAGCAAATTAAAACGTTGGACCAATGTTTTAATTTGATAAAAATAAAATGATCTCCCCTCCCCTCAAACCAAACAGGCCCTAAGAAAAACAGAATCTGGTTTTCCAATCCAGAGTAGTGAGATTACCAGCTATGGGTTACCATCAATGAATTAGGAGGGGAAGAAAATTTATTGAGGGTGCTATAGTAATTTCATAACCCAAACTGCACTTTTCTGCAGTCCGGACTGAAACACATTTTCTAAGAAAAAAGTTCACATAATTAGGTTCTAAACTTCTAAAGTACTTAAAACAGGAAACTGATAATTCAATTAGTATGAATACATGGAAGAGCTATTACATATTCTTGAAAAAAGATAATCACCATGATATCCACACAACAAAACCAAGAAGAAATGATTACCTTGCTGGCAAAGTTTAGCTCTGAGATCTGTGATTTAATCAATTGTTATTAACAACTTAAGTATTAGCACCAGAATTTACAAAACAAAAGAGCAAAGGGTGAGATGCAGTGATCCTTACCATCTAGGGGACCAACCCACCATCACCTTTACACATCAAAAGAGACAATAAAATAAAGCAGCATTATGTATCTCTCTTTCATATTTTCTACTTTTATGCAATCATATGATTGAAAACACAAAAGATATGTAACCTTTATCCAACAAAACACTCCACTGAAAATGGCTTACCCAGTAGCAGAGTATGCAAATGAAAGCAGCATCTTGTTTCAAGGCT